GGAAAAAAAACCTGAATTCCTTATTTCATTTGGTTAAAAAGGGAGGAAAAATGGAAAATTGTATTTCCCAGTTCACTGATCAAATACCAAGTTTCAAAATGTACAGGTAATGGGTGAAGCTGTTGTTTAATGTCTAAATCAATCTTAAATTATACATTAAATTATTTGTCCTGTATATAATATATGGCTAATTAGAAAGAACTTGACTAAGAGGCAAAACATTTAAGATAAATCAAACATTTCATTGTTTTCATGGGTACATTAATCAACATCTTTGATTAGTACTGCTAATATGGTTGTGGGTTTTTGACTTCTGTTTCACACGTGTAAAACAAACAAACAAAGCACTTACTAAAAGCATTTAAGAGCTTATCTCTTGCAGACTGTTTGGAATGTCACATAACTGTGCAGCTGTTCTGAAATGTTCATTTTAAACGCAGTGAAATGTTCAGAACCAAAGAAGAGAGCAGTAGCCTTTCATCCCTTAAAGAGGAGTTTGCTCAGCGCATTGCAGATGCTGAGAAGAAGCTCCAGTTAGCCTGCAAGGAGAGGGATGCAGCTAAAAAGGTAATTTGGCTTTTCAGTGAAATTAGTATTTATTTTTTTTAGGACACAATTGTATTTCTTGAGGTAAATTAGTGAAGATGAAGCTAGGGAAAAGCATGAGGCTGCCAGGTGCTTTCTCATGCTGTTAGTAACTATCATAAGCTGATTTCAGCCATCCAAGCTGTTTGGTGTTTCCTAGTGGTGACACCTGTGTTCTTGCAGTAATGCTGTGAACCAGGATAGGGAACTCAAGTATTTCTCAGTCTGATCTGGGAGAAGAAAAAAAAAAAAGGTTTCAGGTCTGCTCTCATTCCCCTTGTACCCATATATGCATTTGCATTAATGTGAGGGAGAATAGCCTGGGGATGGGAGGGAGTGGTGGAGAGTGGGAATGGCTTCTTTAGGAAAATTAAGGGCTGATGATGGATTGATTTGGAATGAGCAAAGAAATCTACAGCAGCAAAGTTGATGGGGTTTAAATGTTCTTGACCTAGTATCACAGCAGTGCATTTCTCTGGCTTAATGCAAGAAGGAAACTCAAATCTGTAACTGGAAAACAAATATCTTTCAGTTGTTTGTCACTGTATGTGTCACTGTGTTGGCACAGATGTGAGTTGAAACAGCAAAACTGTCCAGTACCTCTGTGTGACTAAGACAGTTTGGTTTGCTATATTGTAGAAAATGAAATGGAAGGAGGAGTTGGAACAAATTGTACAGAGGATTTACAGAGTCTCAATCCTTGAAGGTTTTTAAAACTTGATGGAATGAGGCTCTGAGCAATCTGTTTTGATCAGATAATCTCCAGAGTTCCCTTCCAGCCTAAATTGTTTTCAAAGAAAAGCCTTTTGAGAGGAAGGGGAGAAGAAAAAGGTGATCAGTGTAACTCGCTGTGCATTTTTCCCTAAATGTATTTTAATAAACAATCCTAAGTATTTTATCCTATTATTTAGGAAGTAAAGACTATTAAAGAAGAATTGGCTACTAGACTTAATACCAATGAAACTACTGAATTGCTGAAAGAAAAAGAAGAGCAAATCAAAGGATTAATGGAGGAAGGTGAGAATTAACTTTTAAGTTACTTTTTAAGTAAGTAAAATAGAGTTACTAAATGAACAGGCCATTTTATTTCTCTTGATATGATGAGCTCATTTGCTTAATTTCCAAGCCTGTCATTGCCTATCCTGTCTCATTGTAGCTTAGTGTAACAAGGTCATCCCAGGATAAGGTAGACTTAATACTCAAGAATTTGCATGAAAAACTGTAAGAGTAAATATTTTCGTACATGTTTGATTATTATTTTCGCAGTAATGAAGAGCAGGGGGAGGTGTGAAGAGGAACAGTCCATAGAGTAGCATCATTATTTAGCTTTATCCTCATTTTACTCACAGGAGAAAAGCTTTCCAAACAGCAGCTGCACAATTCCAACATTATTAAGAAATTAAGAGCCAAAGAGAAAGAGAGAGAGAATATTAACACAAAACAGAACAAAAAGATTAAAGAATTGGAAGAGGAGTTGCAGCACTTGAAACAGGTGAGATATTGGTCAGTTTCTTCTTTTGTTTGTTTGTTTAAAGCTTTTTTATATTAGCTACAAAGTTGCCTTTTGGGGAGGCTTTAAATAGACTGATAATTTTTTCTTTTCTGGGAGACTTCTCTGTTTAATACATTCATAGAATGGTTTGGATTGGAAGGGACCTTAAAGGTCACCTAGTTCCAACACTCCTGCTGTGGGCAGGGACACCTTCCATTAGACCAGGTAGCTCAAAGCTCCATCCAACCTGGCCTTGAGCCATTCCAGGGATGGAATTTCTCTGTGCCAGTGCCTTACCATTGCACATTATTGGAACACTGAGCTGTGATTGATGTGTACATTCTCAGTAAAACTGTGGTAAGGTTTGTTTCCAGCTGCTTTGCAGTTGCAGTGCTGGTTGTCAGGTGAGCTGCCCAAATTCAGTGCATTACAGTTCAGTTGGAAAACATGTACCAGCAAAATTTGGGCAGTTAGTGATTGAATCAAGACTTGACTTCCCCATACTGTTTGCCTGTGAAACTGTGGTGAAGAGCAGTCCCCTCCTCTGGGGAATGTTGGGGTGTAAAACCTTTCTCTTCTGGCAGAGTTCTAGATCAGTTTAGTCATTTTGTGTAACTTCATGGCTTGTCTTGATTATCACTGTCCTCAGACCCCATCATCTGCCTCGTGCTGAGGATAGTCTCATGTTTCTTGCTTGCTCTCTGACAGGTGCTTGATGGCAAGGAGGACCTGGAGAAGCAGCATCGAGACAGCATTAAACAGCTGAACAGTGTTGTAGAGAGACAAGAAAAGGATCTTGCCAAACTTCAGGCTGAAGCAGAAAACCTTGAAGAAAGGAACAGAAGTGTCCAGGCAGCACTTGACAGTGCATACAAGTAAGCAATCCCACACTCAGATTGTGTCTGTTTCTTGTGCAATGCTTGTGAAATGTTTATATACAACAAAGTTGTTTGCAAAGTCACTGTTGGCCTTGTATAAACTGTGAATGCTTTGGGGCTTTTTTTTTTCTCCCCAGGGAACTTGCAGATCTTCATAAAGCTAATGCTACAAAGGACAGTGAGGCTCAGGAAGCAGCCCTAAGTCGGGAAATGAAGGCAAAGGAAGAGCTTGGGTTAGCTCTGGAGAAGGCCCAGGATGAGGCTCGGCAGCAACAAGAAGCTTTGGCAATTCAGGTGGGTCTTAAATGCAGTCATTAAACTTGTTAATTGAACAGATGACTGTGCTGAGGTGGTGTGTGCACCTGATGTCATGAACCAGGTGCACTATGAGGTGGAACTTGCTTTTGTGTACTTGGCAAATACCCAGTGGATTTCTTTCCCATTGAACTTGTTCAGTTAGCAAATACCCAGTGGATTTCTTTCCTGTTAAACTTGTTCAGTTTTGAGTGGTGGTTGTGCTCACCTTTAAAAAGTGATTTTATTTCAAAATACTTTTACTTGTCTAAATGAAACAACTTGGACAGGCTCTATGGTAAGTTTGTAGTGTTCTTACCATGATGCAAAGTCGAAGAAATTTGATTGTAAAGATTTTTTAGTGAACTTTTACTTGTCTAAATGAAACAACTTTGACAGGCTCTATGGTAAGTTTGTAGTGCTCTTACCATGATGCAAAGTTGAAGAAATTTGATTTTAAAGATTTTTTAGTGCTCAATCATTGTAGCTGTTTGTGTACATGGAAAACTTAAGCCTTTAACTTGTAAACAGACAGATCCTGTCTAACAGTGTTTACAAAGGATGCAGGGCTGTGGCAGCAATGAATAGGTGACACTGTAACTTTTGGCAGGAGTTAAGTACCAATTCCTTGTTTGTTTAGGTGGCAGACCTGAGATTAGCACTGCAACGTGCAGAGCAGCAAGCAGCAAGAAAAGAAGATTATTTACGCCAGGAAATTGGTGAACTACAACAGGTACTACAACAAATAGCTGATATCAACTTAGATCTGCAAGGAGCTTCTAAAAACTGAACCTTAAGTGCTACTGTGGCATTAATTGTCTGAAAGGGAGGCTTTGCTTTCTGGTTCCCTGCAGTATTTATCCTCTGTAGAGGAGCAATGAAAATCTGAAATGAAATGTTTTTTTTAAAATCACACAGTGAAAAAACTCGGTTTTTTGTGATACCTCTGAAATGTGTAATGTGACCTTTCAGTATAAGGCAGAGCACAGCCATTAAGTTTGGATAGTCATCTAAAATTGCTAGCAAATATGTTTCAAATGCTGCTGAAAAATACTTTCATTTTTCTTAAGGTCCAGAAGATAGATTGTTGCCAAAATGTTTCAAGTGATGTCCAGAGGGCTGGACATGTCTGGGCCCTTGCTCTGTCATGTGTCTAAAAATGTTAAACTTCTCTCTTGGAATTTCACACTTTACTGTGAGTTTGAACATGTGGATGTTAGACTGTAAAGCGACCGTAAAGCAATGATTTTAGACTGTGAAGCAGCTGCTGTGTATTTAGCTGAATTCTGTATTAATCTGTCAATCCATCAGATGACTTTCAGACTTAATCACATTTAATTTGTGATCTCAGAGACTCCAGGAAGCAGAGAGCAGGAACCAGGAGCTAAGCCAAAGTGTTACATCTGCCACACGACCTCTTCTGCGGCAGATCGAAAACCTGCAAGCCACGCTGGGAGCACAGACCTCTGCCTGGGAAAAGCTGGAAAAAAACCTTTCTGACAGGCTGGGTAAGATGGTTTTAACTTTACTGAGCTGTGAGGCTCTTATTAAGACATGAGGTGCCTGAAGGTAAATGTAAAGGGCTTGATGCTTGCCCAAGGTGTAGATGGTGAATCAGGATTGATGAGCACAAAATGCTTTTCTGTAAGGAAATGGTATGGGGAGAATTGTGCCAGTGTTCTTGGACAGGTCATCCACTGGTTCTCTGTAGAACACACTGTAACATAAGACTGCAAGATGAAGGTGTTAAGGTATACATGTCCTTACAGCAACTAAAGGAAAGACAAGTGTTGAGACACTGAAAGCATCTCAGTGGGGATTAGTGCTTAGATTCCAAATTGTAAAGTTTGGAATCACTTATTTACCTAATTACATAGATGATGATACATTGATTTGTTGATAGAGTAATAATCTATTGCTTTAAATGAGAAATGCATGAAAACTCCAAAGGTGGACCCAGAGAAGTTATGTCCTTTCTGGAGGCAATGGGTAGTTGTACATTGCATTCTGAAAGAGTAGGAAATCTCATTCTGCATTGCTTTGAATCTCTGACTCTGTGGTGGAAAATTCCTAATTTCCTTTACAAAAGAAAACAAGATTTATTTTTTTTAAAGAAAAATTAGTTGCATATGAAAAAATTCTCAGATTTCATTTTGATGCATAAATAAATGGCTCATGTTATAGACGTTTGATCAAAAAAAGTTAAATTCCATGTTTTTCTTACTATTAGGTGAGTCTCAGACTCTTCTAGCAGCAGCTGCTGAGAGAGAACGAGCTGCTACAGAAGAACTTCTTGCTAATAAAATTCAGATGTCTTCTTCTGAGTCTCAGAATAGTCTTTTAAGGCAAGAAAATACACGTCTTCAGGCTCAGCTGGAGGTGGAGAGAAACAAATTGAAGAAAATGGAGAATGAAAACAGTAGGTGAGTTGCATTTTTGGTTAACAGTGTTTCTTTAAAACTAGTGGAGTGTTTATATGACTGCAATATGTTGACAGCTGCCCAGCTTGTTAAGCATACTTCATTCAGAGCCTTGAAGTTATGTAGTTTTGAAAGTGTAGGAATCCAGAGTAAATTCAGAATACTTATTTAGTGACTTTGTCTCCCTCATTCCTTCCTCAATGTAGGTATGCAATCCAGAGTAAATTCAGAATACTTATTAGTGACTTTGTCTCTCTCATTCCTTCTTCAATGTAGGTATGAGACTAGAAGGGAATTCAGAATACTTATTTAGTGACTTTGTCTCCCTCATTCCTTCCTCAATGTAGGTATGCGGTTGAACTAGAAGGGCTCAAAGATGAGTATGCAAAAACCTTGGAAGATGCAAAGAAAGAAAAGGTACTGCCTAATTCAGCTTTAATCTATGTTGTCGTTCAAGTCTGAGCTAGCAGGAGGTTAACAAGCTGTATTTATTTTGTAGGCACTGTTAGCTACTCAGTTAGAAATGGAGAAGATGAAAGTTGAACAGGAAAAGAAGAAGGCAATTCTTGTGCAAGATGCAGCAAAGGAGAAGGTACCAAAACCTAACATCTAATTTTTACTGATACTGTTGTTATGTTAGTTGTTACGTATAACCTGAAACTTTCAGTAGATATCTATACCTGACAGTGTGTGTAGCACACTGGGGACTTGGCTGTCTTTATTGTGGCTGCCTTTTGCTTCCAGTGAAGTAACAGTTGTGTTACTCACTGAAGTAAGCTTTGAGTAATAATCTATTTAACCTGAGAGATAAAATATGGGTAATGATTGTCTTAATCCTCACTTTTTTGAGTGTTCTTGGGTTCTTTTTTTTCTGAAGCTACTTGTTTTCTTTGCTTAGACAACTAGCATTGCTTGCACTGAATTCCTGCTCTGTTTCACATGACTGTGTGTAATGTAGCACATGCTTTCCAGCTGAAGTCACAAGTCACAGAGCAGTTCACAATAGTCATTGACTTTGTTGCTGCTAATTAGCAGTTGGCATTCAAGTAAAACTGTCTCTATGATTGGTTTCTTACCATCTCCAGTCCTAAAAGTCTGAAGTGCTTTATCCTTCAGTAGCAACCTGCTAGTAGATGCTGTCTGTAGAAAGAGGCAAGTCTGTTGTTAAAATTCATTTTAAAAAGAGATATTGTTCTGGATGTGGGATACTCTTCCTGTGATACTTCTGGGTGTACAAAACTGCCCCTGAGTCTCCCTTTGCAACTTGAGAGAAATTCTGGTGTAATTTGCAGCTTCTGTCTTCATTTCCTAAAAGTCTGAGAACTTGAACATAGGCTGTAAGTGTTATAGCACAGAAATTCTTTGTTGGTGAACTTGCATATGTTTTAGGGCTAGGTAAACTTTCTACTTCCCCTATCACATATTGTTGTGTAGTTCGTGGTGAAAAGGGACTCCCTTTGCAACTTGAGAGAAATTCTGGTGTAATTTGCAGCTTCTGTCTTCATTTCCTAAAAGTCTGAGAACTTGAACATAGGCTGTAAGTGTTATAGCACAGAAATTCTTTGTTGGTGAACTTGCATATGTTTTAGGGCTAGGTAAACTTTCTACTTCCCCTATCACATATTGTTGTGTAGTTCGTGGTGAAAAGGGACAGGCTCTTCACAGAATCTTTTACTGTGAACTTTAAGTCTGAGAACTTGAACATAGGCTGTAAGTGTTATAGCACAGAAATTCTTTGTTGGTGAACTTCCATTTGTTTTAGGGCTAGGTAAACTTTCTACTTCCCCTATCACATAGTGTTGTGTAGTTAGTGGTGAAAAGGGGCAGGCTCTTCACAGAATCTTTTACCATGTTGTGAACTTTTTTCTATAGCTAACTGGGGATGTTGTGTGTTCTTGTTTGTTTGTAAGGATCGGAAATCATTTACAGTCGAAACTGTTTCGAGTACTCCATCAATGTCACGCTCTAGTTCCATCAGTGGGGTGGACATGGCAGGTCTTCAGACCTCTTTCCTCTCACAGGTACCAGAGATCTCTTATATTGTTGGGGTTTTTTTGACAGTCTGTTTTCCTTCCTCCTCAAGAAGGTTTATGAATGTAGAAAATCAATCTTTAAGAGTATATTTGCCTTAGACAAGGTAACTTCTCAAACCTGCTTACAAGGTGTCTGTGAGTGTAAAACATGTGAAAAGCAGTTGAAGCCACAGTGTGGTATGTAGAAGTATTGGTGCTGAGTTCACATGTCTGATTTCATTAGAAGAGCTGAATAATGCTAGAAGGAATCAAATCAATTGATTTATTTTTACTAGCAGCCCTGGCACAGCCTTATCCATAGTAGCATGCTCTGTGTGAAGTCTTCTACTGCTGCTCTTCCCCTGTCAATCCAGTTACCCATGCTGAAATTAAATACCAGTTGTGTAGGTGCCAGAAGAGCTCACCAGTAAGGAGCTATCCCAAATGCTATCAATTCACCTTAAGCTTCTGTTTTAAAAACAAATTCTAAGCACTGAAATGCTTGCCTAGCGTGGTATAATTTTAAATCTTAAATTATGTCATACTTAGGAGAGGGAACATTCCAAAATGTGCGGATTTTTGCCTAATTTTAAGCTTCTCTAACCTTTTTGTTTATAGGATGATCCTCATGATCACTCGTTTGGACCAACAGCCACTAGTGGGAGCAATCTGTATGATGCTATAAGGATGGGAGCAGGTTCAAGTATAATTGAAAACCTTCAGTCACAGCTGAAACTAAGAGAAGGAGAGATTTCACATCTACAGGTACTGTAGTTACTCTTCCATACCCAAATAGCATTGATAAATGTGAATCCTAATGCAATCAATGGGATATTGTTGGGCTTTTATTGCAAAAGCTTGGTCACTTCTGTGTTAATTTTTGAGCCAGAATAGCTGCTGGAGATGTGTAAGGGTTGAGCATGAGAAGGATTTGATGCTTCCTTTTTTAGTTCGGCAAGGACCTATCCAGAAAACTTGTCTATCCAG